GCAAATAAGTGAATCAATGATTCGGTATACAGGATATTCCTCATATATAATTTTAGAAACCTATATATGTTCATTCCTAATAATATGTATTTTTTAAAATAAGATACAGAATGATAAATTATATATCTTGTTACTTATAATATGTGTTTTTAATAAATATTTTTTAAAAAAATTGTCAAAAATGAATACGAAAAATAATGCACAATTAAGATTGAAAATTAATATTTAAGTGACGAAGATACAAAAATAGTGCGTGGATTCCCTCCGCACGGAAGAAGTTAAACTTCGCAACCTGCGACTTTAATTGTAGAAGAATCAGCAGTCGTAGAATGATCACTAGTTCTATTCAACGGCTCTTTTTCCTGCCCCGCTCGCTTCCGTGCTCTGTAATCACGGTAATATTGTGCATTTTTCCCTCGTGGACCTCTTGAACCAGTGGAAGTGCTTGTGTTGCCTCATCGTCTCGCCCTCGAAAATGTATTTGCATTAATAATGCATGTGAATGCGTCATAATGTAATTTCAAAAGAGAAAACCGAACAATCAATTGTTATTCACAAGACACGTACCTTGACATAACCTTAAATCCGTCTCATTGTCCGTGGGATTGTTTTCACTCATTTTTTACAATTGTTATCCACTAAGTTTGAAAATAAAAAATACTACCCTATTAAATTATATGTGTATCAAAACAAACTAAAAAAATATTTATAGAAAAACAATACTTTTATGACTTTTATTATTTTTATGCTAGTGAGAACCAAAACAATATGGAAATGAATGAGGGAAAACTGGATCCTACCACGTGATTTCCCGGCCAATAAAAATGTAGCGTTAAACGTTTAACACAAACTTGTTGGAAGTCGCATAAGAAGGCTATTAAAATTGACAAATCATTGCTGAAAAAGGCTCATGTACAAATTATCAAAGCATGTTTGACTGCCGGTAGCAGCAGAAGAGGGTTAAAAGATGATTTTTCGAAGCATTTTCAAGTTTCAATTGGCAATGAGACAGATTTTGTTGTTTTGTACACTAGCTTATCTCAGTAATAATTTGTAAACAACAAAAGCATTTTTGCTATAAGAAATCAGTTAAATATTAATTTTTGACTCTTATTTTTGCATTCTTTTTTTGTCATCAATTCTAAAAAAATGGTTGTCATAGTGGAATATCCTGCATAGTGAAGCTACTGCATGCTCTTCGGAGTGGGTGAGCGGTAGAGGATAGCAAAATACAGCGAATTAGGGAAACGACGAATTAAAGATTTGCCATGTTTACAAGTTGAAAAAATTAATTTTGTGCTTAAATAAGCGAATCGTTGAATGGACGAATCATTTTGTAAACAAAGGAAGAAGATTGTCATGCTGTCATTTGTGGAAAATTCGTTAATAACCGTTATTTATTTATTTATCCATATATTTATTTAACTATGAGACTCTGCTCAATAGCCACCGTAATTGCTTCTTATTCATAATTGATTTTTTGCCTGAAACGTCAATATTTAGCTAAAAAATATAGAGTGTTTTGTTTTCAAACTAGACAATTATTGTACCTTTGTGTAGGAACATTTTGTTAATATGTTAATCGTGGCAAAATATACGATTACCTAGATTTGAAAAATAATTATCTGTACTTAAAAAAAAATTAACCTCAGGAATACAGATGGTGAATCTCATTAAGAAGAAATTTAACTCCTGGACGAGACTTAGAACAATTCAAATAGAGATCACTCTTTCTGAAATTTTTTATTTTAATATAAGTGTTAAGATTTTTATCTAATCGTGAGCTTATAAAATAAAGATCGTTTGAGAAAAAAATTAATCTTCTATAACTTAGGGGAAATAGTCGATATTTAAAGCAAAAAGGTTGGGGAAAAATCAAGAAAATCTAAAATTTAAATTGTTTACTTATTGCAAGTAAATTTGCAATAACTTTCTAACAAACTTGAATTTCAGAATAAAATTCGAGGTACGATAACGAATGAAAATGGCTCGTTCAGAAAGTCTAATTTTAACTCCGTTGTTTCATTTCAGCAAACTACAGTTCCACAAAACAACTCAGTGTCAATATCGTAATTGCAAGTTCATAAATTTTACAGTTTGCATGTGTGGGAGCGGAGTTATCGACCATGCAAATCTTCATCTATCAAAAGGTACCTCGTGATTGAATCAAGTTAGCATGTCTTATATACTAGTGAATTGATGTTTAATTTTCGTAGTGGTAGTTATGCCACAATACTCCCCCACCAGAATTTTATCAGAGATGGAATTCGATGAACGGTTTCCACTTAGTTGCTGTACTTGTGAAAGACCGGGAGAGAGTCACCGGATTTTTTGAGTGCTGAATGTGAGAGGTGTATTAACTTCACAGACGTGGTCGCTCCTGTGTTGCCTTTAGCAGTCGAGTGTATGCAAGCAGACGTTGTGTTTACGGCACAGGTAGACGTAAACCTGTGCCGTAAACCATTTCAGGACAGGAACCTTTCAAGTCATCTTTGAATGCTGATCTGATTCCTAGTAAAACGATAGGAAGAGTCTCGGTCCATCGAAGTTTGTTGTGGCACATACCTTTCTTTAAGGTTCTATGCAGGCGTTCGATCATACCATGATACGGCGTGGTACGTATTCTTTTTATCCCCAGCATGGACGATAGATTGGTAAACAATTTTGACATGAATTGTCGGCCTTGATCACTTGTTATTACAACTGGCACTCCAAACCGGGAAATCCAATTAGTAACGAAAAGTTTTGCAACAGTTGATCGAGACGAGACTGTGTAGCAACAGCGTGAGGAAGATTGGATAATGTTGCAGTCACAAGTAGCAAGTCAACTGTTCAATGTAGTCCATCCAACGAAGTACGTGTTACTGTCAATAGATTGCGAAGTAGGCGTTACTGCGAGTACAAATCACGCCCGGGTCACCAATGTGGGGGCGGAGTTATCGACCATGCCAACCTTCATCTATCAAAAGGTACCTCGTGATTGAATCAAGTTAGCATGTCTTATGTACCAGTGAATTGAAGTTTAATTTTCGTAGTGGTAGTTACGCCACGCGTGTAACAAAACAAAATGTCACGGTAGGGAAAAAAAGGGAGAAAAAATTTGCGAAGAAAGCACTTAAAATTGATAATAAACTACACTTGAACTTTAAAAAGCTGGAATTAAGTTCACAAACANAACCATTTCAGAACAGGAACCTTTCAAGTCATCTTTGAATGCTGATCTGATTCCTAGTAAAACGATAGGAAGAGTCTCGGTCCATCGAAGTTTGTTGTGGCACATAATACCTAGGTTCTATGCAGGCGTTCGATCATACCATTCGCCATAGCATGATACGGCGTGGTATGTATTCCTTTTATTCCCAGCATGGACGATAGATTGGCAAAAAATTTTGACATGAATTGTCGGCCTTGATCACTTGTTATTACAACTGACACTCCAAACCGGGAAATCCAATTAGTAACGAAACATTTTGCAACAGTTGATCGAGACGAGACTGAGTAGCAATAGCATGGATAATGTTGCAGTCACAAGTAGCAAGTCAACTGTTCAATGTGGACCATCCAACGAAGTAGGCGTTACTGTCAATAGATTGCGAAGTAGGCGTTACTGCGGGTACAAATCACGTCCGGGTCACCAATGTGGGGGCGGAGTTATCGACCATGACAACCTTCATCTATCAAAAGGTACCTCGTGATTGAATCAAGTTAGCATGTCTTATGTACCAGTGAATTGAAGTTTAATTTTCGTAGTGGTTGTTACGCCACTCGTGTAACAAAACAAAATGTCACGGTAGGGAAAAAAAGGGAGAAAAAATTTGCGAAGAAAGCACTTAAAATTGATAATAAACTACACTTGAACTTTAAAAAGCTGGAATTAAGTTCACAAACAAAACTGTTTTTTTTTAGCAAATTAAATTTCAACTCTGTGGCCTGCACAGCAACCCGTTTGGTATTTTTCATAGTTTGTCTACGGTAAGAACTCCCCCTGCCACAATGTCTGCTATGGAAACAAGAATAGCGCATTTCAAGGAGGGTAGCTTCTCTTCACTCTAGGGCTAACACAATAGACTGAAGAAAAAGATTCCCTTTCTCTTGCCGACACGAGCCAAAACTTGTCCTAAACAATGACCTCACACTCCTACTTGAAATAGTCACCTGATTAACATAGTCACCTCCACGGGTTCAGACGAATGACTAGGGGAGTTCTTACATAAGACAAACAATACGTTAAAAATATTTTTCGAAATAATTTCGAACATTTTTTTATTCCATCGCACTGCCGTAAATTTTTTTTACAAACATTCGAAATTTCAAAGTCTTATAGTTTTTGCGCAACAAAAGAAAATGTAACATTTAGTTGAGCATCCCAAAATTGCATCAGCTATGTGATTTTTTAGATAGAGTTAAACTAAAATGATTCTTATAAAATACAGTGCTCATAGACACGAAAAATCCATTAAAAAAAATGCATATTTTCACCTATCTATTTTATTTAATTTATACTATTTTTATTTTGTTTGCTTTAATTTTAATAGGAAAAAAAATGTTGATGAAATTATTCATCAAAAACAAATTTACCGATTATAAACATTAATAAAATGATTAAAAATTATTCTATTAAATTATTTCAGTAAATTTTTTATGTACATTTTATAATTGCTTCTATTAATCAATTTTCTGCTACAGAAGCTTCCGTTATTTATTAAAAAAATGACATCTATAATAACAATACGTTTATATGTATTTACATAAAAAATTGGCAAAATGCTTCACAACCTGCTGTCACGAAAAAATTTGGAATTTCTCTTGATTTTACTTCCTTTAACTTAATCGGTCATGTAAGTTATTGTATGTATGTATTGAAAAAAAAAGGGAAAATAGACAAGTTCTTTTTTTTTTTAGTAGCGTCGAACGAAACAAAACTTTTTTAATTGTTAATTTGGCTTCTTTGGGAAATCCTAGCCAAGCGTGACAAATTTAACTTCTTCCATTGGTGGTTCATAAGACACTATAACTTCGTCACAATCTGGATAAGTTTTCGCTTGGCCCTTTATAAAGAACGTGATAAAAAGTCTTTTCTTTCGAAGGGTTTCAACCTTATCGTGATAACACAGGTGAGTTTATTAAAAATTTATTGATCTTTATTTATCTATAAAAAAGGAATGGCATTAAAGGAAGGAAATAATAATATAAATTTACTTTCTATAAATTAAAAAAAAAATCTTTTTTTTTCTCATCTAATTGAATTTTTATTTTTAATACTTTATGCATTATAACACGAACGCATATTTCACAAATTTCTGAGTTTTGTCCTTTACTTGTTAATATTACATAACCAGCAAATATTAGTAAAGACTTATGAACATCTAGTTAAAACTCAATACTGCATAGAATCAATTTTTTAAAGAAGGTGCATGCAATCTTTTTTTAAATTAACACTTGATGACAGCCCTAAATTTAAAGATATCACCAAGATTTTTTTTTCAAGTCCATCCTCCTATGTAAGAGATTAAATAAAAGATGAAGTTATAGATTTATATTAATTAATTTTGCCATTAATACTAACATTCTTTATTTTGGCTGCTAATATTGGATAATATTTATAAACTTGTAGTTAAAATGCGATTTCCTTTTTCAATGCACAAATTTGCAACTTTCATCCGAAATGATATTTTTTTTCAGTCCGTCTTTGCATATGTTGTTTTAAATTGTAAGCATGCCATAATTTTCTTTTCATTAATTAACCCTAAAATTATAAATGTCATGATTAGTGATAATTTATTTTTTGTTATTTCCGATATCACAAGAATAATAATGATCTTACCTATATATTATTTTTAAATGTAAGAGATTTTTCAACTGATTCTGGCCATATTTGGTTTATATATAATTACTGTTTTTGCCTATCATTGGTCAAGTTTTTGCAGATAAAATTATTTTCGTTTATTTGAATAAAAAATATATTAGGTAAGCTTAAAGATATGAACCAGAACAAATGACTTAAATTGAATTGATAATATAATTTATACCTTAAAATGAAGGGAGGACGTTTATCACACAGTATAATATTTGATTTGTTTAAATCGCGAAATTTAAATTTTATGTCTTTTATTAAATTTTGTTCACCACCCAAAAATTTTAGAATTGCATCCTGGGGTGGGCAGAGAGAGGGTGTGCGAAGGAACAAACCGCCTAGGTATCTAATCCAGCTAAATCAACGACTTAACATCTTTTAATCTGATACTTTTATTTTTATTATAAAATTATGATTTTTATACACATTAATATTTAGCTGATGAAAAATATTTTATGAAGAACTAAATGTGAATTTTCAACAAATTTAATTATGAAGATTTACGTAATTAAATTTTAGATATTCTTTACATCTAAGAAATATGCAAAAATATTTTCTAGGATACAATAAATTTTTTCATTAGCGAATAATTTCTAATTATTATCACATAGAAATAAGTTTAAAGTATAAGTTTAGATTTTTATAAATAACTAATTTTAATGCTTTTCTCTTTTTTTTCTTTAAAGCAAAGGGGTGTATTTTTTGCCTCTCGCTGCTACACTCCTTTTTTTTTTGTAAGGGACATCGAATCAAGAAGTTTACCCAAGGCATTCAGGCACCTTTGCACACCACTGATTTCAAATAAATAAGTTGTACGACAAATGTTTTTTATATAATTTATGATAAAAANCTCCTTTTTTTTTTGTAAGGGACATCGAATCAAGAAGTTTACCCAAGGAATTCAAGCACCTTTGCACACCACTGATTTCAAATAAATAAGTTGTACGACAAATGTTTTTTACATAATTTATGATAAAAATTTTGATTGTGTAAAAAACTTAATTTAGCTTATACTTTTTACAAATAAGCTTCTAATTTTTTTTTCCTTTTAAAAAATTTGTTTGATCAATATTTCAAATTCTATGTTCAATTTTTGATAATCCCTTTGAGATTATTAAGTCTGTAGATTTAGATTGGTAAACAGGTTAACTCAAAAGTATTGTACAAATATCTGCGTGTAGGTCGGAAATATGAGTCTAAGCAAGAATCCTACTGAAATATATGGTCACATACTCAATACAAACGTTCTAGCTGAACTGAATGCTACATTTTTTCACCGACGAGATAGCCACCTCGTTCACCAGACCTGTCCTCTTCTAGTTTCATCTTCCCATTGATTGAGGATTACTGTCTTCTTTTCTTTGGTTGCCAAACGAAAAATGGTTCTGTAATAGACGCGTTGTCGTTACGAGACGCGTTTTACAGTTGCAGGACACAATTTTGAAGATTTGATCTGCAACTTTCTTATGAACAAATCTGTTTTGCATTATCAACTTTGAACACTACATTATCATCATTTTTGACGCATCTTACAACTTTTAGTCTCCGAGTTAGTGTGATATTCCTAAATAATTTTTTTCCCTTCTCATGTTCCTGATATATATCTAGATTTTGGAAAAATAGTTCTGACTTCTACTTTCTTTTAAACATTCCTTTTAAACTCAGTAGATACATTAAATATCGAAAGTAATTTATGCTCAGCTCAAGTTAGGCTTACGTTTGTATATAGTACTAGGACTTCTACGATAATGCACTTATATCGAGAAGATTTATATCTTGATAAAAGTGTCGCTTTTTTTGTAAATTTTAGGTAACGAGAGCATTAAAATCCTTAAACTTCAATTCTTGCAAATTACGCAAATACTAAGATACTGGTGAGTGTGAAGATAAAACCTTAAATGTTTGAGAGTCCAATGTTAAGCATACTAATTATTAGTACAAATGATATTTTAAGGTACTGAAAGAAATCGAAGAACGTACTTTTTTCGAATAAAAATACCTTTTCATATATTTTGCTTCTTGATCCTCAAAATATTGAGATCAGCTGCTATTTGGAAACTACGGTTCCAATAGTTTAGTTGGAAGAACAATCAGAAAATAAACAATCGCAACTATTAGAACAATTCGAAACAATCAGAATTATTTTAGCCTGTCTTTGAAACTATTTAAAAAAAATTTAAAAAAATTTGATAATATTTAGATAATTCTAGGGAAAAAAAATTATAAATAGTTGTATTATTAAATTTATTAATTATCGAAAAGAATTCGAATTTTAAAGTGAGTATCCTTGTTTAGATAATTTTGAACTGAGAACCCATAAATTACGAAATCCTATAGTTGAACGAAATTGATCGAATAGTTTTTGCGCAACAACCTTTAAAAAGCATCGTAATTTTAATTTCTATTTTCCGGTCACTACCTGATCATTCCGGCCACTATTTTGACTACAGTATCCTTATATTTTGAGGGTCAGTAATACAAAACCGTCGAAAAAAATATTTACGAAATGTTCGCCTTTATGTTTAAATTCTTAACTTATTGTTTGTCTAAGTTAATTTCAATTCCTTAATCCTTGGATAATTAAGATTGTACGTAAAAATCAGATCATTAGATTAAAAAAAAGTGCGTGGAGTCCCTCCGCGCGGAAAAAGTTAAACTTCGCAACCTGCGACGTTAATTGTAGAAGAATCAACAGTCGTAGAAGGATCACTAGTTCTATTCAACGACTCTTTTTCCTGCTCCGCTCGCTTCCGTGCTCACGGCTTGTAATCACGGTAATATTGTGCTTTTTCCCCTCGTGGACCTCTTGAACCTGTGGAAGTGCTTGTGGTTGCCTCATCGTCTCGCCNTCCGGTCACTATTTTGGCTATATTTTCTACAGTATCCTTATATTTTGAGGGTCAATAATACAAAACCGTCGGAAAAAATATTTACGAAATGTTCGTCTTTATGTTTAAATTCTTAACTTATTGTTTGTCTAAGTTAGTTTCAATTCCTCAATCCTTGGATCATTAAGATTGCACGTGAAAATCAGATCATGAGATTAAAAAAATAGTGCGTGGAGTCCCTCCGCGCGGAAGAAGTTAAACTTCGCAACCTGCGACGTTAATTGTAGAAGAATCAACAGTCGTAGAAGGATCACTAGTTCTATTCAACGACTCTTTTTCCTGCTCCGCTCGCTTCCGTGCTCACGGCTTGTAATCACGGTAATATTGTGCTTTTTCCCCTCGTGGACCTCTTGAACCTGTGGAAATGCTTGTGGTGCCTCATCGTCTCGCCCTGGAAAATGTATTTACAAGAGACGTACCTCGACATAACCTTAAATCCGTCGCATTGCTCGTGGGATTGTTTTCACTCATTTTTTACAATTGTTATACACTAAATTTGAAAATAAAAAATACTACCCTATTAAATTATATGTGTATTAAAACAAACTAAAAAAATATATTTATAGAAAAACAATACTTTTATGCTTGTNTAGTACAACCAAGCCAATAAGAGAAAAGAAAATGGCCAATGAAAACTTTACCACGTGATTTCCCGGCCAATAAAAATGTAGCGTTAAACGTTTAACGCAACCTTGTTGGAAGTCGCTTAAGAAGTATAACTTCAAAAATATTCTGAAGTTTTGTTTTCTCATTTTACAAGTTTAAAGTAAAATTATCGCAATTAATTCAGAAGCGGTTTTTGTATTATTTACTGCATGCGCTTATTTCCCCTTCTATTAGGACATGCGTGAGCAAATTTATTCAGTATTTAGAATATGTTAATAAACTTAACAGTTGAAGAAAAATTCCTAAAAAATTTATATGAAATATCATGAAAGTTTGGTGATTAAGGAAGTAAAACTTTTGTTTCATCATCCAATGGAAACTTGAATAAAGAGTATGAATCGTCGAAATTCGTGAAAGTGTTAATAGTTATCTCTTTTCTCTTAAGTGTAAATTATACAACCCTAGATAGAACTCTGCTCTCTACTTTTGCGCAAATGTTAAAAAAAATTTTTTTTTTCATTTAATTTTAGATCCTGCTCTTTTGGTAAGGGCTATTTGCCATGAAAATAAAAGATACAGCATGGATTATAATCGTGCTTTCTGGTAAGTTGCACTTATTTTTATTGCTTGTAATATTAAGTATTTTAGTGCTTAGAATTGCTTGAGGAAAACTACTTACCATTTTTGAAGCTTTTTTTCTCACTTTATTTACTAAATATTTGAAAAAAATTAATGAATACAATATTTCTCTACATTAAAAATTGCAAGATCAGCTGCTGCCACTGTTTTGGGTGTTCAACTTCACTTTACATTTTGTTTTATACTGCTAAAACGATTAGATAGAATTTCGTCGATGTTTAAAAAATTTATTAGAAAGTACAACAAGGAAATAAAAAGTTTAGCGTTTGATAATTAGTTCGAGAAATACTAACTGTCAAGCTTGTAGTAAAAAATATCATGCAAGCCGATCTACAGCCTGTTGAAATGCAACTATGGAGATGAAATTTCATATTGTGACAAAGCCATTTTTATTTCTTAACTTGATGGTATTTTTTTAAAAACACACTTCGAATTCAATTTTAAGCGTTTTTTGGGAAATTTTAAAGTTTTTTTTTTGCATTATTTATTATTTATCCATTGTGGTTGAAAAATGTATTTTACTCTCTCCCGAGATTTTTACATATGCTAACGTTTAAGTTGATGAAGAAAGTAACAAGAAAAGAAGAGGTATTAAATGATGCCAAATATAAGTTTCAAACGTTTATACTAAAATTTTAATTAAAAAAAAATTAATACAAGATGCAGAAAAACCTTTCCCCATTTGCACTGTTATAATTTTCGTTAACGAGTAAAATTCCTTCTCATTTATTTCTTATTATTGCGTTATATATTCGGTTTTACGAAGATTAAATTTTTTTATCAAGTAAATATGATTTATTTATTGATTTTTTAGTCTCATTATAAAGCTTATCATAAGAAATATATAGGAAACAATACACCTCTTATTATTTAGATAAAATGATCAAGTGCGTAGACAAGTAGGTACAAATCAAAGATCATATATTTTATACTATTTGTAAACTAAAGCCCTTATAACTTCCTAATTATTAGTTCTGTCGACCTATATTAGATGTTATTCGATTTAGCATAAGAAAATTAGAGTTAGCAATACCTTCCTTGGCTACTCTATAGGAATGTTTAAGTTTCTTTCACTTTTGATCCCCTGCAACTCATTAAATTCAAAATGGTGGTTAAAACTGGTATCAAGCATGTGACTGGTGCACATTAAATCTATCGGGTTACAAAGTCCTCCATGTCCCCATAACAAATTCTATCTCTAGTGGTACTGAATTGGAGACTGATTGTTCTCTGGATCAAGTCAAAATTGCGATCTGTGGATGATCAAATGGATGTATGAAAGGGTCCTCCCTATCAACGGGTGTGGCGTATGGGTGTGACAGAAGTCGAGTTCTTGTCCATAGATGGCGCCACTGGAAAATAAGAACAATCTCACCCCCTCTGCCTCAATGGCTGGCGACAACAACTAGTATCAAGTGAAGAGGCTAACTTCAGATATCCTCGGACCCAAACGACAAATTTGAAAGCAAATTTTAACACTGAGCTACTTTGAAAATTGATTTTTTTCCATAGTCAGACTTTACTTATTGTTCTCTTATTTCATAAAACTAGCACATAAATAATTGCAAAATATTATTTTAAGCTTAACATAATGCAGAAAACATTATTTAAAACATAAATGCAGTTTTTTATTTCGTGATTTATTTTTGTAGATTCAGCGCACTGAAGGCAAGATTTTCGTAATCTAACAAAATTATTTTTGCATTTATTATATAACACAAAACCTGTTTTGCAAGGATACGAAACGATTGGTAGATATTAAATAGATTTTAGCTTACTTGGTTTAAAAATTGAATTTTTTTTTAATTGCGTTAACCTTTGAAAATTTAGTGCAACTCCTCTAAGATTCAATATGAGAATTCTCCAATTAATAGGTTTTTGATGAATCGTCAAAAACATATTACTGATTCCTCATAGAAGTAAACCGTACATCTAAATATAGAGCTGATAAAGAAAAACGGCTTTAAAATTTATAAAAAGGTCGTCAAATGTTATCAAAATCAATCAGATCTTAGGAATGCCTAAGAAGCTGTTCCAAATATCCGAAAGTAAAATAGATAGGTAAAAAATGCTTTCATATTTGTCAAACCTTAATTAATCCCTATTGTCCCCCCCCCCCATTGCAAATTTTTTTTGTACTTTTTCAATTTATTTCTTATTTGAAATTAGATGTAAAAATATTTTTACTAGTTTTGAGTGTTAAATTTTCAAAATTTTTTTCGGATGATTGATTTACTGCGAATTTCTTAATAAATTGACATATTTGAAATAAACGCACTCATTTTAACTCTGATTCATTTTATAAATTGTTCGCCAAGAAGCAATTTACAAATAAACTAATATAAATATAACTAAAATGCAAATCTTGTACATTAAATACGTAAGCGTACACTTGTGTGCAGGCGGAGCCAGAAGAGAAGCAGGCTTTATAAGTGCGCAAAAGTTAAGACGCATTTTGTTCGCTAGCACGATTCGGCGAATTTCTCTGTGTTATTTCGCAGCGATAGGTTAAATTCTAATTGCAATAGTAAAATTGAGCAATCTCCAGCGTTTAGATGATGGAATAAGGTGGTGAATTGTGGAGAGGCTAGAAGCAGACCAATCTTAGGTCCAGATTTGTAGATAGTTCAATTTAACGTCCAGCGTCGTGTGTAACTTATGGAAACAGTACCAGGATTCCGGATCCATCGAGACAAAGCCTAGGTAAGGTGGTACAAGAGCCACGACGGCCAGAGACGATCACCATTTGTCCATTATAGCGAGGCTACAGCTTCTCAGCTCTCTCGTGACTTGTATGCAGTCACAGGAACCCGTGTTCCAAGGATGACTGTTTCCAAACGACTTCATGAGAAGGGGTTGTTTGCAAGAAAACCTGCTGTTTGCGTCCAGCTCAATTCTACAGGCGAGAGAGTCCGTTCAGCATGGTGCAGAGAGCATAGAGATTGGAGTATGGATCATTGGCCCACCGTTTTCTTCACTAATAAGTCCCGGTTCAGTCTAAACACCGATTCTCGCCCTAGGGTCATATGGAGAGAACCAGGCACCCGCTACTTACCCACCAATGTCAGCAAAATAAACCATTACGACGGAGCAGGTTTTATGGTCTGGGCAGGCATCATGTTGGATGGCCGCACACCTCTCCTTGTCTTTGAAAGAGCTCTGTGACTGGTGTAAGGTATAGGGATCAGATCATGGATCACCATATTCGCTTTTTCAGGGGTGCAGTTAGCCCTGAGTTCATTTTATTGTACGATAACGCTAGGCTACTTAGAGATATTCTGGTCGACGAATATATAGAGAGTGAGGATATTCGCCGGATGGATTGACCAGCTAGATCTCCAGACCTTAGCACAATTGAGCATGTCTAGGGCGCTCTGGGGAAGGCAATAGCAACTCGCTACCCTCCTCCGAGAATCATCCAGGGAATGAAAATAGCATTGCTGAACCAGTGGGAACAATCGCCACAGAAAATGATAAACTGCCTTATTTCGAGCATGAAATCACACTGCAAGGTCTACATATCTGTAAGAGGGGACCATTCCTTCTGTTAACCCATTTTTTTTGCTTATTCTGCAACTGCTGTTTCCTAGCTTCTGGCTCCAACAAGTGTTACACGCGATCATGCGTGTGTATCACGATTGTTGAGTGGTTATTTGTTTCGCATTGTATCAATGTACACTGACTGAGCAAAACTCATGGGATACCCACCTAATATCTGGTCGGGCCCTCTCTGGCCCTACGGAGTGCAGCGATACGGCGTGGAAGTGAGTCCGCAAGGCTCTGCAACACGTCCGGAGGTAGTTGGCACCACACATCCTGCTGAGCGGTAGCCGATTTTGGCCTGTTCGTGGGTTGAGGATTCAATGCCCTGAGCCTGACGTCGGGGGCATCCCANCCACGTGCGTGTGGTGTGATTCTGGCTGGCCAATGTTCACCGGTGAATGTTGACAATCAAATTAGTCGCTTTGGTGAATGTCCGAAATATTTATTACATCCAATTTGATACTAATTTTTTCGTGGATATAATTACATTTATTCGATATTTTAATACTTACTGAGAGGTTAGAACAAACATCAGTGTTTGGAGTATCGGGCAAATATATACCGGGCAATGGCACTTGACTTTAAAAAAAATATCATTGTAGGGTATACCGGGCAAATGTATACCGAACAGTGGCACTTGACCTTAAAAAAACATCAGTGTAGTATATACCGGGCAAATGTATACCGGGTAATGGCACTTAACCAGACCTAGTATGACTAGACCTTTGGTAAATGTCCGAAATATATACTAGGTCTAGTGCCACTTTTGCTATAGCTTAAATATTTAAAAAAAATTAAACAAAGCGTTTGAATCAATTTTAAACTGATACCGAAATTATTGCTTTAAAATTAAAAAAAAAAATAGAAACTGCGTCAGATAAGAGTAATTGAAGTAGTTGCTTTATACAGCGTATGTGCGGGAAAAAATTAAAAACAAAATTATCCAGTTGCATCTAAAAGTGGATGAATATCTCAAGACACCCTGTGGCTGTGTGTGACACAAATTGCCCACTTGACTTTTAGCATTATAATGACCGGGCAATGTAATAATTGCAACATAATTTATCATTTTTTCATATCCTTTTGGGCACTTTTTAAATTGCCCGGGCATTATAAACAATGCCCAATTATTTACATTGCCCGCGACATATTTATTTATTTCAAATGGCAGAGGTAATTGACATAAAAAAGCTAAAACATAGGAACAAAACAAGAAAGTAAAAAGTCATTTCCTTAGGAGCGCTCTTGCTTCCCAATATCGCTCGGTAGATGACGACCGCGGAGGGCCCTGCAGCAACCCGCGACATATACATATCAAATTTCATTAAAATCGGTTCAGTAGTCCTAGAGATAATTGCAAATTCTCTTAATATTTTAGACCAGTGTACATGGAAATATTTATCATCCTTTTTCAATTTTTT